ACGTCTACTTTCGCTTTTATAGCTGTCCTAAAACATCCAAATTCGCAACTTTGGACTGTTCTAGCACGTGACCTAATTAACCTAGAGAGTAAATTTTTTCGGTTTCCTAATGTGCTTCTCGTGTACTTTAAATAGATATATAACAATCGTTTTTTTAAAGCAAAATTGAAATTCGTGATTTTTTCAAATTGGAGTTTTTTTTTTTTTTACAATATTCCCAGTCCCAGTTTGTTATCGAAATGTCCATTCTTCTTCCCGAGCTTAGACTGCAGTAGTTGTAGCAACGTTTCAAATTTCATAGACCTTCTATATAGGTGACGATGTGCATAAATATAAATTGGAACATTTTTGCAAAACCGGAAGTGCCACAGTTCAACATGTGCAAAAAGTCGAAAATCGGCTCTAGAAGGCGCATTTTTGCATCGATTTTTTTCGGGTTTTCATTTTTACAACCTACCTGTAATTTCTGACCTGATAGCACTTGAAAAATTACGAAATTCGAAAATTCGTCGCTCACTTTTTTCGATCAAATTTTTCGATTTTTTTGCAACTTTTTTGCTTTTGCATCGATTGATCTGAAATTTTAAATGCAAAAAGACTTCACTAATGTTAATAATATGATACAGTCAAATTTTGTACGTCATTTCCGATTTTCAACAGGAAAGCGACTGAACTTCAAATCTACTTCCGGTTGAATAACTTCCGGTGTAATTTATGTAGGTCAACAAAATTCGGCTGATCTTTGGCAAATAAAATTTTATGGCCGATTTTAAAATAAAATCCAGACCTGAAGTGATACTTTGGCCGCCATATTGAAAAAACACACTTTTGTAAAACTCAAAATGGGGCCTCAGGGTAAAAGTTGATATGCTCAAATTTGATGTGAATGTAGTTTGCAATTGATTGCGCAAAAAACATTGGGAGCCGAATTTTGAATTTCGCTTTTGCTTTTTTGCAACTTCCGGTTGAAATTTTTTAAAGCTTTAAACGATCACACCATGTGACCTTGACCTTTGATGACCTTGACCTTCATAGAGTCAAAGGTCATTGACCTTGGCTATCATTTGATACTTTGACCTTTGACCTCCTACATGTACTT